GTTTTTTGGAAAATCAAAAAAAATATGTTTATTGTTGTTAAATAGGTTATGAGACTACGACATGTTTTACTAGTCTTTTTAATGACAGATATATTTTTATAATAAGTTTTAAGGACTAACTACTAAAATTATATATAGACGTTAAATTAAAACATATTAAATTAGCCATATGTCGTCAAAATTTGTGTTGTCTATACAATAAACATAAAATGAACACGATTTCGTCTCCAAAATAAGATGTTGTCCTTATAAATAAGAGAAATGTTGAGCCAACGAGAAAACGAGCATGAAGTTCTTCTGAGCTCACGATATGAAAACGAAATATACAATCTTGTAAATCCTAATAGATTAACCAATACTTATACCACACAACAAAATGAATTTGACAAGACGATATTCATCTACCGAAAATAACTTGATTTGATAACATGCTGAGATTAATTCGCCAACTTGTAGAATAAGAACATTGGACTTTTTGAAACGTGATTAAGGCGTTTTTAACTTTTTGTTTTTTTTTTTTATGTAGGAGTTGTCAAGTTGACCAGAGGGTCTTGACTATTTCTTTATTAATAACAGACATTTCAAAGAACACGGCAAGGTATGATGAAACACTACGTGTCGTTTTGAGTAGTAAACGATAAACGTCGCGCTGTTTTTTTAATTGCTCAGTAAGAAAACAAAAAAACAATAAGGTTAGACTCTTTCTTCATCGTAGTTGTTCATCAAAAGAGAGCCATCGTCTTCTTACGCAGGAAAAGGAGAGAGATGGATCAGATAATGAACAAGGTCGGATCTTATTGGTTAGGACAAAAGGCTAACAAAGAGTTTAACTCTGTCGGTGACGATTTCAATGTAATTTTTCCAATTTCCTTTCTTTATTTAACTTCATGAATTTGGTTTTCAGAGTTTTAGTTTCCTGTTTGATCCATGTTGATTTAGGGTTTGTAATTTTAGGGTTCTTTAGTCCTTTGCAGGTTTAATGGTTAAAAACTGTTCGATTTTTCTTGTTTTGGGTCAAGAACTATGCTTAGAGACATGGTTTTTTTTGTAACAAG